GAGTGGCATTAAACAGCTTGAAAAATCAAAGACCATTTTTAACATATCTCCGACTGGATTCGTCTGAAAGAAGAAAGTCATATACACCTAGGATGACTTGAGGGTGAGTAATTCATGGGCTAATTTTCATTGTTGGGTGAACTAACCCTTTAATTTCAGTAAATTATACTAGTTCCAGCTAATTAAACACATGCTGCTGAGTTTTTCATGAGTCCTACATTCTTAAAAATAAAGGTTCTTTATTGGCATTGATGGTTTCATTCACATCCAATGCACATTCTTTGCAGTCGAAAAGGTTCTTTAGATTGTTAAAATATTCTTTGCAGTAAGAAGAAGTGGTTCTTTAAAGAACTATTCACCGAAATGTTCATCTGTGAACCCAAAATTCTATGGCATTGTTGTGAAAACCCCCTTTTGGGTGCTTTATTTTGAAGAGTGTAGTGTAGTTTCATAAACGTGTCTTAAATATGAATGAAATATTCATATTTTTTGTATAAGAATGAGGAGAGTCAAACAAATTGCCTATGAAAATACATTTATTCTCTAATCTGTTATAAATAACAATATAATCAGTGACTGCTGAGCAACAATCAAGTGTTCATGCAAACACACTCCTATGAGAAGTATTAAGACATTATAAAAAGGTACCAACCATGACCGACATTATATCAGTCGTAATTGTGTATGTGGATACAGAACATGTTTGTGGAGGCTACCCAAGGTAGCAAAAAGAAAGTATCCCTGAAACATTCCTACTCCTTGTGTAGTCCCACACAGTTTTATAGTCCGTTCGTAGTTTTATAAGCATTATCAGATAGTGACAGGAGGATAAATGGGCTCCGTGTGCATGGGGGCCTGAGGAAAAGGCTGCCCGTGCATCTGCCCAAACGCAGGACGGGCATCCAGGAACGCAGGGGCCATCAGCATGTGGCGTTCTGTGGGGAGAGCGTAATTCATGTAGGGCTGGTAGAACTGTGGCGCCCCCTGTGGGAGTGGAGGAACATACTGCTGGGACTGAGAGGGTGGGAATGCGTTTCCCATCGGACCGTAGAGGTTCACGCTGAGCTCGGATGGTGGAGGGCGAGCGTTTGTCATGGACGAGCCTGAAGTGGAGGTGCGGGATGGGGTAGAGCTATCCACAGAGGGCCCTCCAGACTCCAAAAGGCTGGTCTGAGCAGCGGATGGCCCCGCTGGCCGGTCGCTCGCTTTGGGTTTCACACACTGACAGCAGCAGATAGATACAACCGTGCCAACCAGAACGAACGACAGGAACGCGCTCACCACAATCACAAAGGGCAAATAGGTTGGAACTGGGGAGGGAGAGAGAAGAGACAGAATTAAACATGAGGGTTATACAAATATGCATATCAGGGGTTGATGAAAAATTCCTCTGAAAGTTACAAAAATGCCCACACACACAATGAATTCATTTAAAATGTTATAATTCAAAATGATCTAGGCCTAAGTATTTTAATATTACCAAGAGTAATCATGCGGGCATCTAAAATTATTGGGTACCCTGCACAGACTAAATAAGGCCAAGCAGTTTTACCAGGGTCTTGTATCTTAGGTTTGTTATTATTTATTTTAGAGGTGTTGTTGTGGATTAATTGTGGTTTGGTTGTAGATAATAACGTTTTTTGAATCTTGAATCTTGAATATGCTCAGAAAAAAAAAATAACAAGGTAAAAATGGCCCAAAATTAAGTCCAGGGAAAATATATTTTGTTATTACTAAAATGTAATCTTTTAAAGTTTCTATTGATACCACGTCATTCAAATAATTACCGTATATAGCTGTTAAAGTCGAATTTGAAGAGCACACATGCATCAAGTTAGCCAGCAGCGGCCAATGAATTTGTTCCATACAATTACTCAAATTTAACATAAATAAATTACAACAATACGTTAATTTCCTTAAATGACTCATGCACTACACTGTAAAACGGATTTTTCGAAGTTGTGAATAAAACAAATATTGGACTACGTTTTACAAGAAAATGCTATTTCAGTCTTTCTCATTTAAAATTTCCCGTTTCATTCAATGTGTTACTTGCCGTTTCTTTGTAACTATTAGTGACCCTGGACCACAAAACCAGTCATAGCCTAGCACAGGTATATTTGTAGCAATAGCCAAAAATGGGTCAAAATCATCGATTTTTTCATGCCAAAATTCATTAGGATATTAAGTAATTAATGAAGATATTTTGTAAATTTCCTACCGTAAATATATCAAAACTTAATTTTTGATTAGTAATATGCATTGCTAAGAACTTCATTTGGACAACTTTAAAGCCTATTTTCTCAATATTTAGATTTTTTTGCACCCTCCCTC